AAAATCAAACTCTTCCGCTTTATATAATAGCATACGATTGTTACTTTTACCGGTTTTCTTTTAGTCACTTGACGATGCAACTCAGATCATAATTAAATGTTGGTTTCGTTAATGTGTGTACAAAAGATACTGAATTTCAAATTGTTTAATTAATTCAAAAGTTCACAGTATATTTTTCAATGGTAAAGTCGAAATTGGGACGTCAGTTATGTTGTTCTTTAAGGGGGGAATACTTTATACTCATCCAATGATCCCGCCTTGAAAGTCCGATTCTCACTGACTGAAAACCAATCCTACTCCTAATTTTCGAGCCGGAGCCCCGGCAACCAATTAAATCCTCCGCGGCTCCGTACATTAAGTCAATTTTATTATGTTTGCGAGTATGTCAACATTGAGTACCTAAAGCTCAAAAGTTTAGCTAATGATATCATGCAAAAATAATCATCATCATCACCAGCCCGTATTCGTCCACAGCTGGACATAGGCCTCTTCAATGGCACGCCACTGAGCTCGGTCTTCAGCTCTTCTCATCCAACCACTGCCAGCCACCTTGTAGGTGTCGTCACTCCACCTAGCTTGAGGGCGCCCTACACTGCATCTGCCTAGACGCGGTCTCTACTCTAGAACACGTTTATCCCAACGGTTATCCGTTCTTCGACAAATGTGACCGGCCCACTGCCACTTCGGTTTATTGATACTTTGGCCTTTTTTTTAAGGAGGGAAAATCATCGAATGACTTCTCCCGCCTGGGTGAGGCGGGAGGGAGTGTCATACTCTCACTGACTAAAAACCACTCCGTTCCTTTTCCTGCGCTTCGAGCCGGACCCTCGGTAACCCGTTAGGTTCTCCGCGACATCCTTTGGGCAATGTCGATAACTTTGGTTCTCTGAAAAAATAAAAGGTAATCATTAAGAAATCAAAGATTACTTAAGCACCTAAAACAAACAAAAATATATAAACCCTAGTTGCTAATGCTAAGTTATACCTAAAATACAGCTAATCCACACACTACCAAGTAGCTACTCCTAACATAATCGCGAATATTTTACCTAAATGACTTACGTTATGTGTTCAGCCGAGTTTCCAACAATATAGACGGTTGCCTAAATTGTACAAGTTATGTCGCTAATGGTCTTATGTTGTTCTATCAGTAATTGTACTGTATAAATGTTCTCTGTGTGCTATGGTCCTTATGATGAAATGCTTAAGAAGTGATGTTCTTAAGATTCTATTTTTAAAGATGAATTAAAAATTGATTGCACCGTTGGCACGTTGGCTGGGTAACTGGCTGCGCAACGTGCAGTGGGTTTGATTCCCGCCCGGAGCAACCCTTTGTGTGATCCACCAAATTGTTGTTTCGGGTCTGGGTGTTTTGTGTATGTGAACTTGTATGTTTGTAAATGCACCCACGACACTGGAGAAAGTCCTAGCGTGTGGCAACTTTTTTTTTAAATAATGTATACGTAAGTATGTTGAACTTATTTTTATTGAATACTAAATGTTTAAAATTAAAATATTGAAATAAATACCAAAAATTGCTAATTGTTATTAAAAAAGTTCTGATCTAATTCAGCAATTTGTAACTCACAAATTAGAACAAAGAACTGAACATAAAAAAAAAATAAAACAACATCCACAAAAAATCTCAATAAATAAACGAAAAATTTTATCCACAATTTTAAATATAGTACAAACAACCCTAAAACGCTTCCGTGGCCTTCGCAGATTAAGGCCGAGCCTTTCGGCAAGATGAATTTCACCGTTGTAATGTGTTAAATTTTCAAACTAATTTGTATGATAACACCTCTACGTCATTTTGGGGTTACACCGACAGTAATTTGCCTTGTAATTTACTGTAGAATTTTCTAATTTAAACGTTTCATTTGAATAATGCGGTATTTTAGGTAAATTCTAGTTCTAATTGGGTCGGAATAGCTGATGTGTGTTGTGAGCGTGTATGGGTATTTACGAATTAAGTAGATGTGTTATTTACTACGCTTAGTACAAAGAAGTGAAATTAATATTAAAGTAACTATTTTGTTGTAGTATTATTGGGGTTATTTTTTTAAAAAAAATCAGTAGTAGACAATATTATGGCAATAGGCTCACCCCCTATTACATGCGACTCGGAACATAAATAGTGAAAGTTAGGTGTTACATTGTACAGTGGCATTAAGTACCGTAATTTGCATTTCTGTCTACCGCTTCGGGGATATAAGGCGTGATATTACGTGCTATAGTGTTATTATTTTTTGGGAACTTCAAATTATTATTTAAAAATGTCATTAAAGATAAATTTTATAGTAAAGCTTATTATAAAATAAAAGACTACCTAGATGATAGTCTGGCTTGGGAATAAGCTGCTGTAACGTCCACACAGGTCATGTTGACATGTTTGTAACATATAGTTACATTTCTTTTTTTATATGCAATTTGACATTGTTTTAATGTGACATTGTTTTTCATATGTTGTTCTAACTTGACATTTACTTTTTATTTAACAATTGTTAGTGCTAGGACCGTGCGAGACTTTGCCTCACCATTTCTTTTCTAATTACCCTTTTTCTGACAGTTTGAGTATTTGTGCGACCCACGCAAATGTTCTTTAGGTTGGTATTGTTCGTCGAATCAGTCAGCCTCACCTGTTAATTGAGCTGACTGTAAACCGACACATGCGTACTGCCTTCAGAACGGGTTCGCTCAAACTGTTGTGGTTCTTTCCTCAAAAGCCCACTACAGAAAGAACTGGCACGGTTCTCACACATAATCTGTTATACATATTGTCTGGACTTTAAAAGAGACAGACCTCTGAGTTTGTTTCGGCATTTCTTCTCAGAGTAGTCAGTTAGGAAATGTCGACCTCATCGTTCGCTTGATAAAATTGACGTGTAAAAGTGCTGCCTTGTAGCCTATTTGCAGAAATAAATTCACTTGTTTCACTTGTTTCACTTGTATTAATTTGGACGTTGGTTTCACAAAAAATAGCCCACATAATGTGCTGAGTAGGTACTACTCTTTTTCTTTATTTTGACAAGGTTTTAAGTAAGTCTAGTCATCTTAAAATAATTGTTTCCAAATTGATCTCCTCAAGTTGTCTTGCTTACGATCTAATATCTTGTTAGTCTGCCGATTATAAATGAAGTTGATTGATGAGATTAGTAAAGTACATACAATGTATTATAGCACTAAAAAATAAAGGACCAAATTCGTCTTGAAGGACCAAATATTGTATAAAAAGGACCAAAAGGAAATGAAAGTTTGTACGATACTCCAAACGTAACAGCTCGCTATTCGAGATTAAATTATTTACACAATATTGTGAAACAGCTGCTTTCACAAATTTCTTGTGAACCAGACTTGTAGGAACATTGTGAATTATTATTGTTGGCTCTAAGGCAGCTTCCTTATACAACGAGAATGCACGACTACCGCGCGATTTAGCGATGAGACTAGGATGTTTGTGACTTAACAATAACTGGATTTCCTATGGCCTGTCCACACATTACGTCACACGTTAAGGGGTATAGAGGGGGTCGACGAAGTGTGACATTGTGTGACAAAGGGGAGGGAGGGATCCTAAACATTGTTGAAGGCACATTTTAAAAACTATTATAAAACACGATATATAATTGTATTAATGTTTCTTATTTTGTTTGATTTGGGATTAATATGTTTTTATAGTAATTTAAATAGAAATAAAACTGATTTCGGAACCGCTGTTTTCAATCAATAATTTTTATACATGCAAAATGTGACGTCACAGTCACACAAAGGGGGGGGGAACAAATGTAACTAGCTGTGCCAAGGACCGGGGAGGGGCAAAAAATCATGAAATTCGTGGGACGTAATTCATGGATGACCCCGTATAGAAAGTGAATAGGTATGTGAAAATAAAAACTGCAATAGTAAATAAGTATATAAACTCAGAATAAAGGTAGTGAACATTTTTGTATTAAACTTGACATGAAAGATTATTGTATCGCGTGGTCATTTTAAGTGTGGGAGAGCCATGCTTCAGCACGAATGGGCTGGCTCAACCGGAGTGATACCACGGCCTTACAGAAAACCAACGTGAACGTGCTTGCGTTGTGTTTTGTCGTGTGAGTGAGGTTACCTCCGCAATTCCTGAATCCCCAACGATCCTCAAACTCCTAATCCCCAAAAGGCCGGTAACGCACTTGTAACGCTTCTTATGTTCCAGGTGTCCATGGGCGACGCTGATTGCTTACCATCAGGTGAACCGTCAGCTCGTTTACCGGCTTATGCCATAAAAAAAAGATAATTGTGCGCAAAATTTTAAAATATTCGACCGTGTTGTCGTACGAACTAAACCCGCAAAATGATGTAGCGATGGTCGCGCCTTCTTGTTCTGTCAGGACGACCCCTAAGAAACTCCAAGGTTATAATAACGAATTTATAAACAGCAGTAACAAGATGAATGTTAATTATTAGGATCCATACTAATTGGGCGAGTCAAGTCTTGGAATAGATCAAGGTCTCAGAAGATATGTTATTAAATCATATTATTGGAACAGAGATAATTAGTATCATCATTAACTTGTCATTTGTAGTCTATATTTCCTCATTCCGTGTAAATGGAATTCAGTTGTAATTTGATCCTTTAATTATGGTTAGAACCTGCGTTAAGAGATTGTTGAATATCGTTGATTCGAAAGAGATTTGTCAGAATTGAACTACTCTTTATCTTCACTGCCTGCTTCGAATAAAAGGTTAAAATCGAAGAACGATGCTATATGGTTTTTTTATGGGATAGGCCGTGGAACGAGCTGACGGATTAGCTAATTTTAGGGAATCGGCGCCGCCGATGGACACCTGAAACACTAGAGGCATTACCGGCCTTTTAGATATTAGGAATCAATATTAGGGATTCAGGAATTGGGGACATTGGGCTCTGGTATCTTTAATATAAACATCAAAACTGTCAATAAAATTTTAATTTTGGAGCCACATATTAACGTTTATTTTTCTATTTGTTACAGGCACCACGAAAAATGTCATCGACCTAATAAAACTAACAAAAGGACAACAATGTGAAATAATGAATTGAAACACACATGATTTCAACAACCAACTTTACACACACACCGTCAAATGTGAACACAATACAATACGATTGCACAAATATAACATACAGTTACAAAAATGCAACACACAACTGCACTTACGAGTCTACGGAGGAGTATGAACACTCAGGCTTCGCGAAGACGAATTTCTCGAACGCGACCTTCGCGATGTCGAACGAAAACTTCACGGATTATGAGATACCGTATTACATAAAGACCACATCAATGACTTTTTGCATAGTGATAATGTGTTTGGGTGTGATCGGGAATGTGATGGTACCTATAGTGATTCTGAAGACGAAGGATATGAGGAACTCGACGAATATATTTCTAGTGAACTTAAGTATCGCGGACTTGATGGTGTTGCTTGTGTGTACGCCGACTGTGCTTGTTGAGGTGAACTCGAAACCTGAAACCTGGGTGCTCGGGAAGGAGTTATGTGAGTATTAGTATTTTAGCAATGTTACACAAAATCTTTATGTATTTATGTTGGTAAACATGAATTAGTTTAAGCATCAAAATATAACACATTTCTCCATTTTGCTGCCATGGGGATTCTCAGAAAGAGTAATTAATTATTTTATTCTTATTCTCAGTCGGGTTTTTTAATCCTTCTTGTAAGTAAAGAAAACGATAATAAAAATACTTAGACTATTTGAACAGTCGATTGACGCAAGCGTGAACGACGAATCATTTGAAAAACCCGGAAAATATTGAATTTTCTAACTATTCAGACATAGAGTCTCGAATTAAGCATTGTGCTAGCACTACCAATTGTAAATCTAAGTCATAATTATCATCAACAGCCTATAAGTACCCACCGCTGACTAAAGGCCTCTTCTCACACGGAGAAGGTTTGAGCATTTCACCACGCTTGCTCAATATATAAGTCTAGGGCCTCACGATGTTTTCCATCACCGTTTTGTCAGTGGTGTCTGAATAGTCTTAGAAAGTACATGTAACTCGGAAAAGTCACATTCGTACTTGCCGTTGGTAGGTTTCGAACGCGCGCACCCTCATGCATGAGAAGCAGGCGTCTTAAACCTCCGGGCCACCACACCGAATCTAAGTATAACTGGTGGTAGTTGGGTGTAACATTTAACACGTTCACGTCTGCCTACTTAGCTTGAAATTGAGAAACCATTGATATAGAACCCTAGCGTGAAAGGAAACTGATATTTTAGGAGCTGCCAAATGGAATTCCCAAAGAATGGCAGTTGGCACTCGATATGCCCAATGGTGGGAACAAAGTGGAAACGTATCTGCTTTATAAGGACAAAACTTTCTTATTTATTTCTATTTTTAACATGGTTTTGTTGTTTTGTTTACATGTTCGTTTTAGGAATGTTTCAATAATTATCGTAGCGTTATGTTTTCTTGACAAACGGTAAAGGAAAACTTGGTGACATTAACTTATAATTAGAGACGATTTCTAATTATAAGTTTAAAACCACATTGAGCCAGCGTGGCGATTAATACTCAAACCTTCTTCGTGTGAAAAGAGGCCTTTGGTCAGCTGTGGCCACTTATAGGCTGTTGCTGTTTATGATCTATGTATTCTCGTAGGAATTATTTTTGGAATCCAACTAGAAACACGTTGTATACCAGCTCAACCGTTCAATAAAGCATTCGTTACAGCCAGGCTAGCTGTAACTGTCAATTTAGATTTCAAAGTGAGTTCGATCGCATTCTCTCCCGTCATTGGTCGAGACTATTCTCGCAACCAATAACATGGCGGACCTCGATCGAGTTTATGTACTTCGATTTTTAGAATTGAAAGATGCAAAATGGCCGCTGCTATTTAACCTGTTGAAATATTATCACCTAAATTTGTTCATATAACAGTAGTTGTTTTTATGGAATAAGCCGGTAAACGAGCAGACGGATCACCTGATGGTAAGCAATCGGCGTCGCCCATTGACACCCTGGAACACCAGAGGCGTTACAAGTGCGTTACCGGCCTTTTGAGGGTTTTGGGGATTAGGAGTTTGAGGATCGTTGGGGATTCAGGAATTGAGGAGATTGGGGAAGGGGAGGGTAATTGGGCCTCCGGTAAACTCACTCACACGACGAAACACAACGCAAGCGTTGCTTCACGTCGATTTTCTGTGAGTGCGTGGTATCACTCAGGTTGAGCCGGCCCATTCGTGCCGAAGCATGGCTCTCCCACACTTTAGTCTCTAAACATCGGAAATAAGGTCTATAATGCAGTTAGTGGAGAATGGTCAGCGGTGACCGCTTGGGGATAAATGGTAGCTGTTGTGATGTCTGGATTGTAACTAAAATGAGGTGAACTGCCTCATTGGCCGAGTGGTCGCAAGTGCGACTGCCGGGCAAGGGGTCTCGGGTTCGATTCCCGGGTCAGGCAAAGTAAACATTGTCAGTAGTAGCACGGAGTTTGGAATTGTCCCCGGTATATGGTAATAGGCTCACCCCTATTACATGAGAATCGTAACATAAATAGTGAAAAGTGGGTGTTTTTATACATTGTATATGCACCTCTGCCTACCCCTTCGGAGATAAAAGGCATGATGTTATGTTATGAGGAGATTTCTGTTATAAAGATATAGAAACCAAAACTTCATAATGAACAATTCCATATTGTAATCACATAGACAATCATTTCTTAAATAAAAATAAAAAAACATTCTTTCTAAAAACTACTTTAAAAATCAACTCAAATAAGAAGTTCGACTTCATAAATACTTTATTCAAATCAGAAGCGTTATGAGCCAAGACATTATATGGAATCGATTCCCGTTGCCATGGTTACCGAGATAAAGTCACTGGCTCTTTGCACTTAGTATTATTTTAACATTAAAATCTCATCTTTATACGTAAGGTACAAAAAGCGACCATATTTACCAAGACACTAATACGAACATATTTAGCGAGTATACCTCTATTTTTGGGAAAAAGATCATTATTTTTATTACGCTTAAGCATCAAATTCCCTTATAAGTGTGGGCTTAAGTTGTCGAATTCATTTATTTTGATATTATTCCTTTTACAAATATGAGCATTCTGAATAATTTTGCACCGTTTTAATGACTGAGTTTTAAAGTGTTGTCGGGAACTTCTTTTTGTTTAATATGTATTACTATCTGTTGCCCATGAACTGCCCCGATGGGCAAGTGGTCGCAAGTGCGACTGCCGGGCAAGGGGTCTCGGGTTCGATTCCTGGGTCGGGCAAAGTATTGCTGGGTTTTTTAAAAAAAATCTCAGTAGTAGCACGGAGTCTGGAAATGTGCCCGGTATATGGCAATAGGCTCACCCCCTATTACATGGGACTCATAACATTAAATAGTGAAAAGTGGGTTTTACTTCTGTGTGCACCTCTGCCTATCCCTTGGGGGGTAAAAGGCTTGAAGTTATGTTATGTTACGAAATCTGGGTAAGACATTCGATAAAAAATTTAAAAAAGTAAAAATTGTTTCTCTTCAAGGTGTGATGTAGTTGATGTTATGCTGAAATAATTGAAAGAAAAAAAAATACAAAAAATATAATTTTCGTGTTGAAGGCTTCGTTTAAAAGTCAGTTCCAAATAAAAAACAAAAGAATGAATTGAATAAAGAAAAGAAATAGCTGATATCTTGAGCTAGAACACAGACTGCATTTATAGATACGTATATAAACTAATATACATAGGTATCATATAATAGAAGCGATATTGCTGTTTGTAGACAGTGTCAGTGCAACAGTTACGATCGGAATAAAACCTCCGTAAATACAGATTGCAGTCGATATTGTTCGATATACAGCGATTTACACGTAAAGGTTTGGTGTCAGTGACGGCGATATATAAAAATTGTTAGCTTAATTTATTGGCTGTTGGAGGAAATCTGTTTTTTCTGGGTAATATTATAACGTACAGCGTACAGATTTTGTTAAAACAAACTATGTTCTATGTTCAAGGTCAATCGAAAAAAACGGACAATAAAAATATTTATAACGAGTTCAGAAGATTGTAAGTCTCTTTAACTCCAAATAAGAACAAACATTTTGACGATAGTTACAACATACTACTATTACCACTGAACATAGGTAGATATATTCATCATAGTCAAAAAGTACCTACATATTTTTGACATACAATATCAAATGACTTTCTTACATTCTAAATTCAAACTAACAGCGAGCCAAAGAGAAAAAAATCACTTGCAAATCGCTGACAGTCAAGACCCACCCAACACAAGACCATTCGCAGCACATGCCGACTTTGTGCTAAACTGCCGACGCGACCAGACAACTAAATCCCAACCTTCGACTATAACAATAAGGTGGCAATTTCTTTGACAATGAGCTCGGAAGTGAAAACCGCGATACGCCCTAATTAAGTGTAATAAAGTAAACGCTGTGAGGATTGCGCGTGCGACTTTTAATCGTGCGATTTTTAATCGGTCATTATTCGTGAGGTTTTATTGCTTGTGGAGTACGGTGGAGTGCTTTAAGGATATTTTTGAAGTTTATTGTTTCTTTAATAGAGTTTTGATTAGAATTTTGCTTAATATTTGAGTCGTTTTATCAAATTGTTTTTCTTGACTTCTTATAGTTTAGAGTTGGTTATTTTAACTGGCGCATTTAAATGATCAGGGCCATAAACGTGGAAAATGGCATGTAGCATTCTGTGGTTACTGCTTATCTTCTATGATTCAAATTGATTGGGAGGAATCCATAACAACGAGATTCATAGTTGAAAAATTTAATAATAAGTTATTTGTCTAATTTGGCAATTGAACTCCAAAAGCTTTACCAATGCCATCAACAAGGCGATCTTATTTAACTATTCCAACCTAATTTTAGGTAGTACTAATAAGTAGGCTGCGCGACATCGCCGCAGCCGGGCTCACTGCTCATGAGGAAGAGTCCCACTGTGGCTCGAAACTAGTAGAGCTTTTCTCAGTATATGTATTTACCTGAATTACCCGTCATTTTTAGTTTATTCAGTATGTCTCACGATAGTTTCATATTTTATAACCATTCGATTTAAACACTAAAAGAAATACTCATACCTCTAGTTATATTTCCGCTTTTGAGGTCGGAAAAATGTCAAAATAATGTACTGAAGTCACGCGGTTATATAATTACCAAGCATTTATTGACTCGGTAACATTTGGAGTACTATTTCAAATTCATTCCGTGCCTATTTTCATTAAACAAACAGAATTATGTGAACATTAATTAGAGTGCTGTGGAAATAAAAAACACGACAACTGATTATAAATATAAGGAGGTTTTAAATTTCGAAAACTTCAACTTAAAAATATGGAGTATGTGTGATTAAGCTACAGTTCAGTAGGAAACATTTTTTTCAAGGGGAAAAACCATCCAATGATTTCTACCGCCTTTAGTTTTGCGAGACTATGTCAGACTCTTTCCGACTAAAAACTACCCTGTTCCTAGTCCTGCTTTCCGAGCCCCGGCAACCCGTTAGACCTT